GGGCAGCACTTTGAAGACCCCCAAGCTGGTTCAGCCACAAAGACTCAGCTTTGGTGAGGGAAGGCCATCTATTTGGGACCCTAATCATGTCAAGTAAGAAGATACAGTGTTAGACATGAGGATGAGAGAGGTAGCATCAACAATGGCTCAGATCCATCCCTGTGATTTTTTATTTTGTTGTTCACAGCAGAATTGCTCTCCAGCATACTCAGGGGTGCTGAGCAGGTTGTTTGTCCTGCCTCAGGTCAAGAGTGGTCAGGATGAGGCCTGGGCTTGCAGCATTATCCTGGGGAGAATGGTCCTTTCTAGGGCGATGCTAGCTTTAACCTTCCCTTTGCCCATTGAGCTGCAATCTCTAGATTATTGAGAAAGCTCTCAACTGGGAATCCTGAAATGCTTCCCCTAGTCCTTAAAGGACAGTGGACAAGCCCTTTCACACTGAGGACAAGTCTTCAGCATCTGCCCCTGAAAGTTTGGGTGCAGGGCTGGCTAGATTAGCAATGCCCACGCACGTTTGGATCTCACAGAGCAGCAAATGCTATAGGAACGGGGTGGGGAGTGGGGTGTTCATGGAACAGAAGCTTACATAGGGCAGAAAACTTTTTATTTTGCCACATTAGGATATTGAAAACAAAATCCTCTCACTATCTATAATTTATAATAGAAAAACATTTCAACACCCTACAAACCATGGAAGGTCTTATCTATACATTAAGTAGAGCTCTTTATATGGAACACATTTAACTTGAAATAAGTGGTTATTCTTCTTTTTTAAATTTTACTTTGCTGTATTAATTGTCTGTGGCTGCTGTAACAGATGATCATAAATCTAGTGGTTTAAACCACAACTGTGTATTGTCTCAAGTCCACTGGCCAGAAGTTCAGGCGCTGTGTGACCCTGCTGGGTCCTCTGCTCAGGAACAAGGTCAAAATCAAGGTTAGCTGAGCTGGGTTCCTGTATGGAGGCCTGACTCATTCAGTTTGTTGGCAGAATTCAGTTTCTTGCAATTGTAGGACTGAGGTTCCCATTTCTTTGCCATGTGTCCCCCGTCATCTTCAAGCCAACAAAGGCACATTAAATTTATCTAATACTTTGAATGTCTGGTTTCCCCTCTGCTGCCAGCCAGAAAAGATCTCTGCTTTTCAGGGCTTGTGGGATTACATCAAGCTACCTGAGTAATACTTTCAGGTCAGCTGATTTGTAGCCTTAATTACCTTTGCAAAGCCCTGTTTGTCATGTAACATAACATCCATAAGAGGAAGACCTAGGGGCAAAATTCATGGGGGCCAGACCTCTGCCTTCTACTCCCAGCCTGGTAAAAACTGAGTTGGATAAACATTTTTGAACATTGAAAGATTCTTCTAGCTCAAATATTAGTTGTCAAATATTGTCAGGTTTCAGAAGTTGTCAATTTGTGAGAAACTAGGACATCATTATTAATACAGAATCTTGCACAGACTAGGTACTGGGGAAATGTTTGCTGAGCAAATAAGTTTTAATTAGTTTATTGTTGCTAATATTTTTAATGCAATTTTGATTATAAATCTTGTGGTACTGCATTATCATTGTCATTAGCTTCTGATTAGAAAACAAGCTAAAATCATTATCAGAATGTATTAAAATGGGAAATGATTCCGTAAATCATGATAGAAATAATTAAAACATGAACTGCATTGTTCTGTCTGCTTGTGCTAAGGGTGGGAAGTGTTGTTTTCCATCAAGGAACAGGGACAATTAATAGAGGGCCCCAAGAAACAGTAACTTAATCTTTCTTCTTTCCTCCCTCTTTCCTCTCTTCCTATTTTTCTCTTCTTTTTCTCTGTCTCTTTCCTTCTTGGCAAAAAAATAACCTGGCCAATTTAAAAAATTAAATTAAAATTTTAAAATGGAATTCTTTCCTGACTCTCTATAGGCTACAATCCAAACTCCCCACCCTGGCATCCAGAGTCCTCAGCCCAACCCACTTTGCCCTCGTCACTCAGTCTCAAGTGCTCCGCCCCCAGAGCCCTCCCTGGTTGCTCCTGTGGTGTCCATAGCCTGGAACTGTCTGTCTCCAGTACTGAGCACTGTCTGCCATGTGGCATGGCCACCTGTGCCCCTGTCACACTACCTGTACCAGACAGTGAGCTCCCTGAGGCCAGGAGCTGTGTTGGACTCCTTTTTCTATCCCTTTCAGCACCCACCGTGAGTCACTGTCCTGAGTCTCTCAAATAAACAAGGAAGGAGCAACAGGTACTAATCCACTTTGTCCCACATTGTGGTCCCTTTTAAGAAAAGGGAGGGGGAGCAGAAAGAAAGAGGAGGACAGAGGATGGAGAGGAAGACAAGAATCAGGAGAGACACGCGGAAGTAGAAAGAGAGGGGAGGAAGCAGATACAGGGAGAACATCACCGTGCTCCTTTGAGCATTCAACAGCTTCTTACTGAGTCCTGATTGAGGCCCCATCCAAGCTCAGGGGAGACAGCAGTGAAAACAATAATAAACATCTTTGCCCTCAGGGACTTTGCATTCTAGTTGAGAGGTCAGCCAATACACAGGCGGATGAAAAAATAGAAAAAATTATTTCAGATAATTTTAGGACCTATATTAAGACAATAAATAGTGTGGCCTGTTAAGTGACTGGGAGTAGGGACCATTTGGGGAAGGGGGGTAGTAGTAACAACTTCACTGAGGAGGTAACAGCTATGCTGAGACCAGAATGATGATAAGTAGTGAGCCATATTGAGAACCAAGTGAATATTACTCCTTGAGAAAACAGCAAGTGCAAAGGCCCAGGAGCAAGAAGGAAATTGCTTTTAATTTCGAGAAACAAAAAGGAGGCTGGTAAAGCTGTACTGGGTGAGCAAGGAGAAGAGTGGAGGGAAATCACATCAGAGTGAGAGGCAGGGCTGGATCTTGCGGCTTCTTGTACCCATTACGATAAGGAAGGTAATATCATACCAAAATGTGTAAATAATACAAAGTAGTTATTGTATAGATAGACTAACAGGGCATTTTCCAACAGCCCTGCCTGAGGGTCACCTGACTGGGGGAATTTAAAGTTCAGACATCTTATAATTCTCTAAAACTGGTAGAATGTGCTGGGTTTTTTGTTTTTGTTTTTCCTTTGGTGTGTGTTTGTTTTGGTTTTGGGTTTTTTTAGAGAGAATGGAGGGTAATGAGGAAGAGGAGAGAAAGAGAGAGAAACATCTACGTGAGAGAGATACAGTGATTGGTTGCCTCCCATCTATACCCTGACTGTGTTGGGGATCAGGTCTTCAACTGAGGTACTTGACCTTGACCAGGCCAACAGTTTGGTCCAAGGGTTCTAACCATTGAGCAAGTGGGCTAGGGCTGTGCTGGTTTCTAATTATCTTTTGTCTGTCCCTACAGAAAAATTGCCCTGAAGGACATTAACCAGTTTTGTATCTAATTTGTTATTTCTGTTCACTGTAAAAACCCCTGTCTCCTAAGTTTTCTTTTGAATCCACTTTGTCATCTTGCAGATACACTTATCCACAAGTTAAATAAAAGGGTGATATGTACCCACTATTGATCTTCATGAGAATGATGTTTGTAATCTTTTGAGAATCATATTCTGATAAGAGTTTGGGTTTTAAGTGCATGGAAAGCGGAAGAGTAAGAAGGACTAATTTATGTTTTACAAGGACCCACAGACTGCCAGGTGGTGAGTGGCCTTAACTGAGCCTGGGGGGAGCCAGAGTCTCTGTCCAAGGAAGAGATGACCACTGGGCTTGATGAGAGAAGTGGAGGTGGGGGGAGGTGGGAAGTGAGCAAGGCTACTGACTCCTAACATTTGTGGACATTGATCCTCGTTCATTTCTGTGGTAGATCTCCAGGATCTGCTGTAGTCGGCAATTTTCCTTTCTGCTATGTGAGCTCCTTGGCAGGGGCTGTATCCGACTTTGTTTCCTCAGCACCCAGCCCTGGGCTGAGCACAGAGCCGTGCTTGGCAGTGTTTGCTGAACGAATTCGTCTCTTTGGATTCATCTTCTTCTCTTCCTCCTCCTCCTCCCACTCCCCTCCTCCTCCTGCTCCTTTTTCTGCTTCTCCTTCTATATTGTGAAAAAATATACATAACATAAAATATGCCTTCTTAATCATTTTACGTACAGTTCATTGGCATTAAGTACATTCACATTGTTGTGTTACCATCACCCAAACTGAAACTGTACGAAATAAACACTAACCCTCCCACCCCACCCCACCCCCCTCCCTTCCAGCCCCTGGCAACCACCATTCTACTTTCTGTCTCTGTGAATTTGACTATTCTGGGTACTTCATATAAGTGGAATCACACAGTATTTGTCCTTTGGCATCTGGCTTATTTCACTTAGTGTAATGTCTTCAAGGTTGATATATGTTGTAACATATATCAGAGTTTCCTTAATTCTTAAGGCAAAAATAATAGTCCATTGTATGAATATACTAGTTTGTTTGCCCACTTGTATGTTGACAGACATTTCAGTTGTTTCTACCTTTTGGCTACTGTGAATAATGCTGCTATGAACATGGGTGTACAAATACCTGTTGGAATTCTTGCTTTTGATTCTTTGGGGTATACACCTAGAGATGCTGTGCTGGATCATATAGTAATTCTGTTTAACTTTCTGAGGAACTGCCATACTGTTTTCTGCAGCAGTTGCACCATTTTACATTCCCACCAGTACTGCACAAGGGTTCTAATTTCTCCATATCCTCAACAACATTTATTTTTCTGCTTTTTAAATAATAACCACCTCAAATATAAATGACCCTGGAAGTGGGAGACCTTTGGGAGGCATTTGGGAGCTAAGATGGGGGATGCCAAGATCATACTTCATGGAGCTCATAGCACAGGCTCAGCGCTGGCTTAAATAGAGGCCCCACCAATGAAAGAACTAAAACCCAGAAGGTTTCCCATGAGGCAGATTTGTTTGTGTGAATCCACTATTGGGCTCTTTCCCCCGGGGAAAGCAATTTCTAATTTGGACTTCTCTTTCTCTGTGTTGCTCCCCAGTGTGATAATGCGAAAGGATTGAAAGCCTTCTATGATGCAATAAAATACGGGCCAAACCACTTGATGGTGTTTGGAGGCGTCTGTCCATCTGTTACGTCCATCATTGCAGAGTCCCTCCAAGGCTGGAATCTGGTGCAGGTAAGGTCCAAGCTGTCTTTGGTTGGGGGACTGTCTCGATTGGCCACCAGTCTTTTGCAGAAATGATTCCTTGCCCAATATGGTTTCTAAGTTGCCCGAATTAGGCCCTGGCTCACCCTTTCCTAGTGATTGCACAGCCACTGGCCCCACCTCTTGGCCTGACCTTCTGGCCCATCCTGGCATGGCCACCTCTGTGTGTTTGAAATCTTTCAGTGACTCCCTAGCCTTACTCTCAGGGCCATCAGCATCCAGCCAATCTGCCTGTCCAGTGTCATCTGTCCCTGCCATATATTCCATGCCTCCGTCCCCCCAGACAACTCACCTTTCAGATGCACCCTGGACCTTCAGGCCTCAGGGCCCTGCTCTCTCTTTCCCCTTAACCAGGTTGTCCTTTACCAAACTTCCCTCCCCAACCTGAAGTTCTCTTGTCTACTAAGACTGCCTTTCTCCTCAGGTAAGCCTTTCCTGGGGCTACAGGCCAGTTGTTTACTCTTTATACCAGCAAATGTTATGCACGGTCGAAAGTTCCACCAAGTGAGTGTGTACAGTCTGTTGTAGGCAGCATTCACCAGTGCTAGCTGTTATTTGGAGTGTGAGAGAGGAGATTAGAAAGATGTGACCATCTGGGATGAGTGGTTGCCTATGCACATGTTTTACTTCTTTGCTTCATCCATCCATCAGTTCATCCATCCATCATCCATTACTCCATCATCCACCCAACAAATATAATGGGCAACTTACTGTGTACCTAGAATTTTGGTAGACACTGGAGATATAGGGCAAACAGGACAGACATTGTCTCTACCCTTTGGGAGCCTACATTCTAGGAGGGATGCAGGCAGTAAGCAAATAAACAAATAGTAATACTAAGAGCTAACACTTGTATAATATATATGTCATGCTCACTACATACCAGATACTGTTCTGAGCACTTACATGCATTAACTCATTTAATCCTTATAACTGCTCCATTATCATCCCCATTTCATAGATAAGGAAACTGACGTACACAAAGCTAAGTAACTTGTCAGAAAATCCACGGCTCGTAAGTAATAGAGCCATGATTTAAACTTAGGCAATTTGGCCCATGAGGTAAGTCTATGGTAAGGAAACGGATAGACATAAATAGGGTGAGGAGATAAATACTGACTGCCTTGGGGCAGTCAGAAAAATCATCTTGGAGCAGGTGACATTTGAGTTGAGACCTGAAGCATGAGGAGGAACTGGTTGGGTGAAGAGCCTCCATGTTTACAGATAGAATAGCAAATGTAGAACACCAATGATGGGGAAGAACCTGGCGTGTTCAGGGAACAGAAAAGAGGGCAGTGGGGCTGGAGCAAGGTGAGTGGGTTGTCGGGTGGTGAGAGTGAGAATGAAGAGGCAGGCAGGAGCTGGACCACAGGAGGATCTGGTTTCACTCTGCTTGCTTGAATTGACTGAAGAAGTCTCTGAGTCTGGCCCTGCGTGCCTAGGGTGCTGGGGGTAGAGTGGCAGTGGGAGCCAGCCATGACAGAAGTGTGATGAGGGAGGGTGAGGTCCCAGGGAAGGACCACCCACTCAGTCCAGGGACAAGGAAGGTTTCTGAGGAAAGTGATGCTGAGCTGACTGTGAAGGAGGAGAGGGTGTTGGAAAGCTGGAGACATGGAGGAGAGCACTGCTGGCAGAGGAAACTGGGTGTTCAAAAACGGGCGGTGGGTGTGTGTGGGCTTGGGCAGTGTGAGTCATGTGCTGTGGCCGGAGAAGGCCACGCTGAATGTGGGCGGGTGCAACAGGAGATGAGGCCTGAAAAGCAGCTCTGCACGTGACAGTGCCAACCTAACCACGTAACTGGAGCCAGCACAGCGCAGTGAGCCCTGGGAGCCTTGGCTTCTGGCCCCGAGGTGCCTATGCACAGCCATGAGACCCTGGTCAAGTCACTTCCCTTCTCTGTACTTAAGCTTCCTTTCCTGAATGCTGAGGAGCTCCCTACACACTCTGCTGTCACTCTGAGCTGCCACTCTGAGTCTGTCATCTGTGAAGTCAGGGTAGTAAGAGGGCGGGGTCTCATAGGGCTGCTGTATGGAATAAATAGTTAATAAGCGATTACAGTTGTGCCTGGCACATTGTAAGCACTATGTGTTCCTGGTTTCATTGTTGTTGTCGCCCTGCCCCGACTCCTGCTCCTCCCCAGGTTGAACACCCCGATTCTTAGCACTCCTGGGCTTTCCTGCCAGCCCTGTTTTCACCTCCTGAGACATCCATTCTCCCCATGTCCAGTATGTCAGTCCTACCCATTCTTAGAGACCCAGCTTAAAATGCTGTCCATTCCAGGAAGCCTTTCCTCACTGCACTATCTAAAGTAGCCCTTCTATAAATTATTCTTCTCACTTCCCTGTTTACTTCTAGCAAGCATGTACAGAACCCCCGCCATGCCCCTCTGCCTGTCCCTCCTTTAGGGCTCTGCAGATATGTTTGGCTGGGCTGTGAGCCATAGAAATGGAACCTGGGCCTGAGTTACTCCTGTTTTTCCTGGTGCCTGACACTTCATAGACCTTATCGGATGCCTGCTGAATGATCCGAGGGTGGGAGGAAGGAGGAAGAGAGGGCAAGACAAAGGATTGGCAGGTGGACATTTTCCCCAGATGAGAGTTTGAGCTGTCTGGGAAATCCTCACCCAGAGAGGAATTCAGGGAGGTTACTGGCTCTCTCACAACCTCACTGGGACTGTCTGGAATTCTCTGAGGAGCTGCAGAAGCAAGCACAATGTTGGAAACTCCTGGCTTACCAGCTGACTTTAGTATAAACAAGACAACCTTGTTCAGTGGGGTTGACAAGCTAGGGAACCGGGTTATGAGATGGGAATTGTTTTAGTTATTTATTGCTGTGTAACTGACCACCCCAAAATTGAATGGCTAAAACAGCAATAATCATTTATTATTATATCATTTCTGTGGGTCAGGAATTCAGACCCACAGAATGACTTGCATCTGCTCCATGATGCTCGGGGTCCCGTTGGAAGATGTGAAGGCTGGGAGCTGGCATCATCAGAAGGTTTGGCTGGGGCTGGAGGATCGCTTCCAGTGTGGTTCCCTTACGTGGCTGGCTCTCCATGTGGGTCTCTGCATACGGCTGCTTGAATGACTTCCCCCAAAGCGAGTTCAAGGCAGAGATGGCAGAGTCTTTTAGTACCTAGCTTCAGAAGTTGCATGCCATCATTTCTGTCATATTCTGTCGATTATACAAATTAGTTCTTATTTAATGTGTCAGCATGGGGAGGTTGCTACACTAACCATAGTGGGAGCTGAAGATCACTAGGGACCATCTTGGAGGCTAGCTACCACTAATGTCTGAGAGTGAGGCAGGAGCTCAGATTGCCCAACAAGGAAGACTTGATGCTGAGTCCCTTTTCTGCTTTGCAGAATTGCTCATCCTTCAAAACCCTGGATAGATACCACCTCCTCTGTGATGCCTTCCCTGATCCCTTTTCTTCTGTGCCTCCCAGCCCCCAAGTGAATTCATTGTTCCTTCCTGAACAGTGCCTTTTCAATAGAGGACATCTCCCTCAAGGAGTGAAAACTGCTTTTTGTGGGGAGGGGGCAAAATGTCTCGCTTTTTATGTATAAAGCACAGGACATACATACATACAGTATATAAACAGGCATATAGTCTATTTGTGGCATTAAAGTCTCAAGAGTGGGGCAGGATTAGAAAAAATTACTCTACTGGGAGAGTGAGAATGATAGTGAAAAGAGGGCTGAGAAGCATGGTTCTACACTGCTTCTGTATTGCCTACAGTCTTTACATTTTATGGAAAATAGTTTATCCTATATCCGGTCTTCCCTATTACACAGTAAGCTTCTTGGGGGCAGGGACTCCCATTCTCTTCATCTCCCAGTTGCCAGTGCCTAGCACGGAGCCTGGTACACAGATCATCACTGAGCGCTGGGAAGTGTCTGGGAGCCTGAAACCCTCCACTGCTGATATAGGAACAAAGATCTAAATCCTGATGGGGAGTAGCCCTGGAGCCTGATTTCTGCCTCCCCCGATTCTCAGGGAGCACAACCCCATTTGTCATGGGCTAGACTCTGGGGACCTCCCCATCCCCTTCCCAAAAGGCTGACCTTGCTTACAAAGATGGTAGAGGGCTGAGAGAGTAGGTCTGCAGTCATAGGACTTGATGAATTCCTTAACTTATTCAAAACTGGGCTCTGAAACAGTTTTGTAAATGGGAAAATGCATGTAATTTGTGTAATTGAAAAGTAGCTCTGACTTCCCTTTGGGGGAGACAGCCTGGAATACGTAATCAGTTGTTTCAGTTTCCTGGTGCTACAAAAATAGAGATGTGCACGACAGAGGGGTGAAATGCACCCTGGTGCTGAAATTGGTTAAATTTAACTTGCTTTTGCCGGGCTTCTTGATTCATGGTTGCTGTGATGAGAGGCCAATATTGTCTAAGTCGTGATGTGAGTCCCTTAGCCACTGGGCATGTCAGCTCCTCCAGCTAGATTTGAGGACCTCCATAGAGGCCAGGGCCTGACGTGCGGGCTCTGTCTCTCTCCCATCTGTCAGACCCACACAGGTGGAGGCTCAGACCTGGGTCTTGCAATAGAAATGACACACCAGGGCATAGCGTGGCGTCACCTGGGAAGGGCCGGGGTCTAGCCATTGCAGACTGAGCAGTGTTCAGATTGGAGAACACACAGGGTGCTGGGGAGGAGGGAGGAATATTGGCTTCCAGAGCTGCATGGCTCTGAGAGATTTTGCTGCTTCTCTGTGACGTAGGCGGGGACAAACAGGCAAAACGGGTAGAGTTAGAGCGGAGCAGGGTTTGCGCTTGTGGCTGGAAGCATCCAGCAGGGAGCAGGCTGCCTGGCTGTGAAGCAGTGAGTTCTCCGCTGCCTGAGATTCCCCAAGCATTCAGTCTCCGCCGGTCCTGCTGTTGGGGATATTTACTATGTTGAGTAGGCACAGACCAGGATGGTGGCTCTCAAACTATATTGTAAGAGTCACTTATAGGGTCT